TTTATGGTCTTCACGATCAGGTTAATCCTAATGAAGAACCAATTGGAAATATTATGGGTGTGATGTTTCATGGATGTCTAACTACCGCAAATTTGATTGCTTCCATTTTGGGAAGGCTTGCCACAAATCCTGAAATACAAGAAAAGGTAATTTTTTTTTGTTAAATGGTTCTATCAATTGATTTATGAGTCATTTTTCACATTAATGGACTAAATAGTTGGTATTCTAAAGAGTTGGAATAATTCATCTTCATACAGATCAACTCAGAACTAAATATAGTACAACAGGGCTCGGTGAAAGATCACCAGAAAAATATTGATAACATGCCACTTCTGTTGGCAACTATATATGAATCTGCTCGTCTTCTGCCAGCAGGGCCTCTGTTACAAAGATGTTCACTTAAACAAGGTATCTCACTTCTTTTATAGCTTGGTGTGTATTGAGAATCTATAGCTGCTTTATGGAAAGTAGTAGTGCATTGGTCCTTTTCGGTCTTTTTATTGGACATTAAGATGAGGTGCCAAGGAATTGATAATAGCGGACTCATGCCTTTTAGTTTGATATATTTTGCTCTCAAAATTTATTATTTTTTGCTAATATAGGGATGGTGGGTATAGACCTAATGTATACGTATGGGTTGTGAGTTCAAGTACAGCTACCATCTACTTATAGTATTCTCATTATGTGTTTTATTTTATTTTACTGGTTAAAATACCATTTTCGTCCTTGTAATTTGGAACTCATTCTATTTTAGTCGGCATGTTTTTAAATGTAAAAAATTAGTCTCCGTACGTACAATAAATCTTAAGTTTTGTTTTTTATGAAGTTAGTTTTTATTGAGTTCAGGTAAATAATAATAATAATATTTTTTATGTAAGAAAGCATACAATGTGAATATCTTTCCCTAGTTTATAGATGGAAGACTAGTATTGACCAATTTCTTTTTAAGAAAAGTTAACCATAAACTAATTATAGGGGCTAACTTTAATATTTATTGAATGTGAGACTAATTTTGGACCTTTGGAACTTGAAGTTACATGGATGGAAATAAAACAAGTTTCAAATTAGGACTGAAATGGTATCCAACCCATTTTAAGTGTCGTGTTACAGATTTAATAGCTTTTTTTTTGTTAGACTAGCCGAGTTGCATTTTAACTACCTAACCTAATGCATACATATGGTTGCATTTTAAATCTACTTTTCCTCGTCACATCTTGATTTTCATCCAAGTAAACTGCTTGTGAATGATTTTCGGCTTTATGGTCATACATCTGCCAGTATTGTAGACTACTCTTGACCTTCATTGCTTTTCACTGCTTGTTTAGTCATCTCTTTCTTTTTCTGCTGCACCCAGATTTAGTCCTACAGACTGGTATAACCATACCGGCCGGAACTTTAGTTGTTGTACCCTTAAAATTGGTACAAATGGAAAGTTCAAGTTGGGGAAGTGATGCGGATAAGTTCAATCCCTACCGTTTTTTATCAGTGGCTTGTAATGGCGCTGATACGAGTCAGCGAACATCACTTGCAGGTAAGTTACTACACGCTTAAGGACTTCATGCTTGCATAATCTACTACCTTACAACTCAGTCCACTTTTGTTTAGCTCCTTCCTTTGGAACTCTTCAAAATGTGGAACTCTTTTGTCTTTTCATTTGAAAGAGGTTTATGAAATTTTATAGGTTATTGTTCCAATTCCGTCACTGATATATTCGCATGTAACCACATTCAACATTGAGTTTAACTTATTGCACGACGGGGTGGGCTAATCAGTTTAGTGGGGAGTTGGCTATGTTTTGATTTTTGAGTAATATGACTCATGAGTGACTGTGAACAAGACTTCATTTTTTTGGGACTCTATCAGAGTAGAGGATGTAATACAAAGTCTTTGATGTTCGTCTTTTTTGTTTATTGCCCTTTTTTTTTGGGAATGCATTTCTAGAGTTCCATTTCTTTTAATTTTGGTCTATAAGTTCTATTTGGATTGGGTTTTTGTCCACCCAGACGCATTATTTTCCTTTATATTTAACCACTTAAGAAAAAAACATACAAAAGAAAAATGCAATTTGAATGTTTTATGAAGGTTGCGGTGTCAGCACAATTTATTGCAATAAAATGGTCTCGATTGCGTCTTAATGTGTCGTGATGCAGGAGAAAATGCTGGGGACGAAGGAGAGAGCTCCTTTGTTTTGAACGATCCAACCGGCAATGTTGCCTTTCTTCCCTTTGGCTTTGGTGCACGTTCCTGTGTTGGTCGGAAATTTATCATACAGGGAGTAGCAACACTATTTGCCTCTTTGCTCGCCAACTACGAGGTTGGTAGTTATATATATATATATTAAACTGTTATAAAACAAATATCCTACAACACAAAAATTCTTGCTTCTAAACAGTGAATAAAAAATAGATTGATCGAGTTAGGCGGTTAAGAAGACCATGTAAATAATAAAAGGCTCAGATGAATTCATCATAGAATTTAATATCCTATATGTTACTTTGACAACCAAATGTAGAAGGTTCAGGTAGTTGTGTTAATAAAGGTGCGTGCTCGGACACTTGCAGATATCAACAAAAAAAAAAAAAAAAAAAAAAAAAAAAAAAAAAAAAAAAAAAAAAAAAAAAAAAAAAAAAAAAAAAAAAAAAAAAAA